TGTGGCCCGAACCACGCAACCGAGTGCCCTGGTTGCAAACAAAACAGGCTCCAGGCCCCACAACGCCACACAATCCTTAAAATAACAACAACAATAGCCAGCGTCCTACCCAACAGACGGCTCCCTAAATCCCTCCGTCCACCGCCTCCAGCCATCTACCCAGCACCAAACTTCCCTCTGAGGAGATGTGTGCCAGACCTAACCCCCAAGTGCGACAGAACCAATCCCTGCCCTGGGGAGAACCCCTTCGGATCACCTTCCGAGACCAGTCAGCTCTGACAGCTGTCGCCAACAGTTTCTTAAAGAGTCCTTCCGCCGCCTTTTCCTGCAAGCTCTCACCTTTGAAGCGAAGACTATTTCTATCCACCCAGATGATCCAGAACATTATGCCCCTGCCCACCTGTGCAACGTAAGCCCATCCTTCCGAGGAACTGTGATTCTGCGGAATGCAACCTGTAAGTACCCACCTCTGCCCAACCAGGTCCGCCACTCCCGCAAATCTCTTCCAATGATGTTCCCACCACCTCCACCACTTCCTTGACCTCGGGCAGTCCCACCAAAGGTGCTGCATCGTCTCAGTGGCCTCTGAGCACCTGTCACAGACTGTTCTCACCTCCATACCTTTCTCCGACAACCACTGGGCGGTAGGAACCGCTAGGTGTGACTGCAACCATAAAAGTGAGGCAATTTTTTGGGAAGGAAGCAGCTGCAGTTGCGTGCATAACTTGGTAAGCTCCCGCTCAGAGGGTCGAGCCAATTGCAAGTCGTTTCGGTCCCAGCGTTCTCCAATCTTTTTGCAAACTGACCCGGAATCCGTCCTCCGTTTAAGAATCAAGCTGGTGTTCAACTTTTCCAAGCCCATAACTGTTCTCTCCCCCACCTGCCAGCCCCATACCGCTGGGTCAATCCTCATGTGGTGCAACCCTGTGCCATTGCCTACCAGAGAAGGGGCCGGCGGAAGTCCCTCATCACTTGGGGGGGACAGTCTCACACGAATTTCCTTCAAGCCAGAAAGACCATATTGCTGCCTCATTCCCACCCTTTCCAGAACTGGGAGGGAGGGAAAGGCACGCCTATAAGTTTCCAGCCAGCATTTACCCGGGCATTCTTCAGACCAACTTTCAAGTCTGCAAAATTGTTCCATTTCTTCAAATACTGTGACGAATCAGGTGCCTGGTGGATCAACGCCTTCCGGCCCAAGAAGCTTCTTCCAGTCCTCTGGGATTGCCTGCAGCAGCAACCCCAGCCGGCTCTCCTGATTTGGAAGATGACCCAGGATTTCTCTCATTTGAGCCGGACACCTCCATTGATTGCTGTACTCATCCCAGAGGTCCCCCACCTTCCCGACTCCCTTCTGCAGCCAGCTCTGACCAAAATTACCTGGCTGCCTTTCCAATGAAAACCAGTCACCTCCTGAATCCCTTATCCAAGGGTTTTCAAACAGGGGCTGTCTTCTGACCTCCTCTTTGGACAATGGTGGCCAGATGAGCGTTGGCCTACACTTCTTCCATGCTTGCAAGACCTCCCTCCAAAATTTTGAATGTGGTCTTTTGCGAGAATATGTGTCCGTCATCAAGGCGACCCAAGTATCTACAGGGCACACCAGACCCCATTCCTTGGAAAGCAGGGTCTCTGCCAACATAACCCAATCCGTCTCCTCCTCCGCCTCAGCCACCCGGAGCACCCATTTAGCAAGAAGGGACGTGTTCTGCGCTGCCGGATCCAGCAGAGCTAAGCCCCCCTCATTCCGAGGTCTGCACAGCACGTCCCAGGCCACCTTGCATAAGTATCCCTCCCTCTCACCTCCTGAGGGTTTCCAAATAAATTTACGGGCAGCTCCTTTTACTATTTTCAGCATGGGAGGCGACAACCTGCGGACTGTTGCCACGTACCAAAGGAGTGCAAAGGCCGAAACCARCACAGCCAAGACCCTCCCAATCAATGAGAGGTGAAAAGCGGGGCCCCAGCTCTTTATCCTTCTRCAYACCKTCTCTTGCAGGATCACGTCCTGAGAGGACGAGCAATCCCCCAATGCCACCTGTACACCTAAAAAGCGTTCTGCTTGATCCGCCTCCACCCTTGCCATACCCCATTGGACTGCAGGAAGATACTTCTTTGGAAGAAAAAAGGTGGACTTTCTCCAGTTGACTGCTGCTTCAGAAAGTTGTGCGAACTCCACAAGGCATGATTTCAAGGCTTCTAAGGATGGAGTCTGGTTCACCGAGATGACGAACAGGTCATCGGCCAATGCCTTGACCTTACTGTCCCCTCCGCCCGAGCGATTTAGACCATGTATCTCCGGATGACCACGGATGTTGCAGAGAAGCGGCTCCAAGTGGAGGACAAACAGGAGCGGAGCTAATGGACACCCCTGACACAGCGACCTTCTGAGGTCGAACTCCTCTGAGACCATTCCATTCACACAGACTGCTGCCGTTGCGTTTCCGTACATAACCTTAACCCACCTACAAAAGGATTCACCAAATCCCATAACCCGGAGGGTGGTAAGTACGAACATCCAATTAACCCTGTCGTAGGCCTTTTCGAGGTCCAAAAACAACACTGTCACGTCCAATTCATCCCTCCCGATGAGCTCCAAAGCCTCTATTGCTGTCACAACATTCTCAAAGATAGATCGGCCCCTTACGAATGCGCCCTGGTCTCGCTGTACCAAACCTGGTAGGTAGTGTCCCAGTCTGTTGGCCAAAAGCTTGGCCAGCAGTTTGTACACCACGTTCAGCAGCGAAATGGGTCTCCAATTCCTTRTGTCGCTTATGTCCCCCTTCTTAAACAGCAAGGAAATGATCCCCCTTGTCATGGTCTTGCCGAGCCTCCCTCCGTCCCGAATCTCGTTAAACAATGACACTAAGTCCCCAACCAGCACCTCCCAACATGCCGCAAGAAAATCAACCGGCAACCCATCATCCCCCAGCGCTTTACCTCGGTCCATACACTTGAGGGTGACAATGAGTTCCTCCTCCGTGATCGGCCTATCCATCAACAGCCTCCCCTCTAGAGGTAGACTGCAATCCAGGTTATTCCACACAGGGGACTCATCTGCCATGTTGTCATCCAAGCTGTCGTAGGGTCTTTTTGTCGTCAAGATATCCTGAAAATAGTCCACTGCGTACGAGCACATTTCTTTGTTATCCACTGCAGTTGGTTTCCCCAAGAGGTACGGGTGCTTTAGTTCTCTCATCCTAACCGCTGTGTTACGTGGCAACAGACGTTTGGAAGCTTCTTTCAAGAGTCGATCTGACGTAACAATCCCTTTTACTTCCAAAATCTTCGCCCTCCATTCCTCCTTCTTGATTTGGAACTCCTCCCACTCCTGCAGTCTGTGCGTCCTCTCTTCTGACCAACAGAGATCTGAGATGAGGTTATCCCCCAGTTTGCCTTCCGCCTCCTCCACCCGCACACGTAATTTCTTTTCCTCTTTGTTACCAAGAAAGGCTGAGATACGTGAGAAGGAGTCCAACTTGAGAGATACAATCCGCAGGCCCGCATCCACCCACTCCGCCGTGCTCATAAACAGCTGCTTGGCTGATCTCCAATCCACCTAGAAGCTCTCGACCCATGCCGTGATCCCTGTGTCTGAAAGCAGCGAGGCGTTAAGGCGGAAGTGCCCTGGGCCTCTTTCCCCCACTTCCGCAACTGAACACTTCATGACCACCGGTTTATGGTCTGACAGCGCCACATTCAGGACCTCGATATCCATGACGTCCCCTCTGGCCTCTTCTGAGACCAAGAAGAAATCGATCCTTCTTTTGATGCCGGCCTGCTGGGCAGTCTGACCAAACCATGTGTAACCCGGCTTCTGGGGATACAGTTCCCTATACACATCTCGCAGACCCCACTGCTCCATCCAACTCAGAAGACGGGATCTATCCCCAGACCAACCAGCATCCGACTCTGAGTCCAATCCTGGGGCACAAACAACGTTCCAATCACCCCCCACAACCAGGTGATTCGACTTCGGCAACACATGCGGCAGCAAATCAAAGAACACAGTCCTACCTCCAACGTCATTCGGAGCATATACTGTGGCAAAGACCCACTCAGTCCCTCCAATCAGCAACTTAATCCAGCACCAGCGTCCCCATGCGTCGCTGTCGTAGTCCAGAAACTGGGCTTCCACTCGCGTATGTACCAAAATCGCCACGCCTCCTCTGGAACCTCGACCAGGGGACCATAACTGGGTTCCCTCCCACCAATCCCTGAATTGGGCCAATTTAGCTTCCGATAGCTTGGTCTCTTGCATCATGATCACATCCAATCTCTCCTGGTGCACCCACGCCTTGAAACGCCTTCCTTTCCAACGTCCTCCACTGTCGCCCAGGCCCCGAACATTTCTGGTGGCAATTCGCAACCTACCCATTGACGTTCCAGCCGTTGGACGCAGATTGGATTCCTGCTGGGTGGGGGTTTTCCGTACGCGTGCCTTCTTCCCCCGAAGCATCCATGTCTGCCTAGTCAACACTTAAGCAGCGTAGGAAAGGCGCGGAAGTCAAGTTGCACGTACGAGGCATGCTCGGGTGTAAGTTAGCCAGGAACGTCGCGGCTACTCCTGGGCCTACCAGGATTTGAGACAGGATATCGTCTGACGCTTGAATCAATGCTTCCAAGGGGAACGAATCCAGCCCGACTGAGTGCAGACCTGCCCACTGTTCCGGAGTGAACCTAGCATCGATAAACACTATAGTGTACAGAATCACTTTATCATCATCCAGAACAACTCTCGTTTTCGGCATATAAAATTCTGGAAAAATTTGAAATTGAAGCCTATCTGCAAACAGATATCTAACTCTCTCAGTAATAAGAGCTGGCATCGGAAGTTCGGAGAGTCCAACCGCAGGGAGCGACAGGTTTGCCTCTCTATCCAGTAGACCTACCACATGGATCTGTTTTTTTTGTAGTGAACAAACCAGCGGAAGCAACCTATTATCCTCATGCTCTCTAAGCGCATGTCCCGGCCCATCTGTGCCTGTCGGTACATCTCGGAGAGGAATCCTCATTACTGAGTCAGCATCTGAGCTTCTTGGCGACCCCCCCTGACCATCACTTTCTTCTTCATCTACTACGTCCGGATCATCCTCCACCTGGTAGCTTGATGCTCCTGAGGAGGAGGGTTTGAACGTGATCCACCCGCTCGACCTGTGTCCCCTAATCCACCCCTGGCAGGAAGCATCCCCGGTTGGACATTAATATCGTCAAAATTAGGACTATGAAAAGGAACCTGGCCCCCTCTGAGTATGCCTTGGTGGAGGAATCCCATGTCCGCAAAGTTGACTCCGAATGGATGGTAGCCGTAGCTCTGCCACTGAGTCAGGCCCCATCTTGGCATATATGGCTGGAATGCGTTCTCGGCACCTGTAAACATCATCCCTGCTGCTGAAGGCTGACTTGCATGAACCAACGCCGACGGTGGTCTCGAAGCTACCACTTGCCCTCTCGCTCGTCCGCTGTATACTTGCATGGGGGCCGGCCTTCTCCCATCACCAGAGATCGGGCCACTACTCTCCGCCCCACTTCTCATACCACTTGGCTGAAGAGGCTCTCGAACACCCCTTACATCGCCACTTACTGCCCCTCGGCTTGTGCCTGTTGCCCTTGCTGACGGCTGAGCAGGGCCCCCGCTCGGGGCCGGTCTCGCCTCTTGCCTAGTTGCCAATCGAAGCTCCCTGTTGTCCTCTGATCTTCGCGTGCGATCCGGTCGGCTAGGTCCCGGGCGCTGCCCCTGTCCATTCGAACCGCCAGCCAGGTCCTCGTCTGCCCTAGGGCAACCATCATCTGCCGTGTGAAACCACCACTTGCACCTTTCACGCCAGGGGGTGTGCTTGCACACAAACTTGATCCGCAGCACTTCTTGTCCAAGCCTGATTGAGAGTTCGGGTTCAAAATTACCCTCTGCTTCTTTCACCAGATCGAATTTAAGATTCATTAGCTTGGGTCTTGTTCGATCTTGTTCCGGCGGTTGACTATTGATTACGTGTCCCATCGCAGTTTCCACCATGCTTTCCACGTGGAACATAGCTCTCAACGGAACTCTAATAGCCATTACCCAAAATTTTGTTTCATCTTCAAGCCGTCTTCGTTCATCGAGTTCCGTCCGGGTGAGCCAGGGTTTGAAGAGCATCCCATACTCTACGCCCCTGATCGTCACTGAGTCCTCCGCCTTAGCCACCAACCATTGCGCTATCTCCCTTGATCTAGCCACATAGGAGACCACGTTAGGCCCTTCCGAATGAACTCTACCCCTCTTCGTATTTCGATCGAAGATTCCCTGCCTGTACCAGCCATTTTCGTAGGCTCTTATCAGATCCTCTCTCACCCTCATCGGCAGATCCCTGGCTTCTCCCTGAAATATTATCATTACCGTTCTCTCCTTTAGCCAATTCGTCGTCAGTTCATCCAGCCGCGCATTGACTACGAAGGTGCGGACACCGCCCTCCACCACCCACTCCCCATGTCGGAATTTTTCCGGAAGCAAACCATCATCGTAACACTTTGAGATAAGCAGCCTCATTCGATCTTCATCGGACAAGGGCACGTCCGCACGTCCAGGCGGCGAGCGATCATGCCCCCCCTGTTGGCCTGACGGGACTCCTTGTTCCGCCATAAGCCGATGCCCGCTGCCACCCGAGTCCTTCCCCTCTACTTCGCTTCCCTTCGATGCTCCAGCTACTTCTTGTCTTCTCCCCTCTTTAACTACCGGGATCCAGGCCCAGCCAGGCCAAGTGGCCAACCTTCGTATGCCTTCCGTATCCCACAATCTTACTTGACTCCGCTCCTGCTCTTTACTCTCAATTACACCTTCCTCCAGACCAACTTTGACGCATCAACGGCGGGCGCCAACAACGGCGCACGCCCACCTTAAACCCTCATGCCCGCAAATTCCCCACGCGGTCTTTCTGCACACACCAATCGCACTCCCTCACTGAAGTGGTGTAGGGGGACAGCCACCCGGCCGTCCTTCACTGAAGTTTTCTCGGAAACTACCGAGCTCGACGACCGAATTCGCCATAGGCATCATGTTGACGTCAACCGGCGATGGCTGAACCAGTGCTACCTGGAGGTACGGGTTTAGAGCGGACTCAAGGCCCGGGGGGGTACGGCGGTTGGCGCTGGACGCTCTAAACCCATAGAGATGTTTTGTTGGATGTTGCTTGCTGTGAAGTCTTTCTTTTTGTCAGTAAAAGATATGATGGCAGATTTCAAAAATGGTAAGGGAAAAAAAATATTAAAAAAAATGGTAAGGGGGTGTGGATTCTAAGGGCGTACTCACACAGCGGTGGCAGTCTAGCAAAATCTGCTGGATTTTCTTTCCCATGTTTGCTGAAATAATACCCCACCCGGTCACACATGGGTTGCAAATCAGAAAGGACACGAGCGGGACTCTCTGGCAATTGCAAAATTGGTGCCTCTCATGGTCGCAAAGCATGGAAAGTTTCTTTTAACAATTCCCAAAAGGCAAAAGAGAATTTGTCACAGCCAAAAGAGAATTTGCCACCACCTCTCCAGGTGGTAGCAAAATGCCCATCCCCGCGGCCCCCCAGGCCGCTGACAAATGCTACCCCGTTTGCAACTTTGGTGGCCGGAAAACCCTAGTGTGACTCTAACAGCATAGCGGATTTTGCGATTTAGCCAAAAAAACCACTAGTGTGAGTATGCCCTAAATGATGGAAAAGGTCATTAGAATCTGGACATTCAGTTTTTTTTTTTTTTTTTTTGAAGTCCATGGTGTTCAGTTTCTTTTTCTTAGCCTTTTTAAACACTTTCTCGTATGGTTATGAAACATGTGGAAGTCGGGCGGGGCTCTGTGCTCCGAGTGGGGTAAAACAACCCAATTGCCCCTAGGTTGTTTGCCTTGGGCACTGGGGGCCCATAATAAAGCCAACCAAGTCTCCAAAAAAAAAAAGAAGGGCCAAGTACCAAAAAAAAAAAAAAAAAAAAAAAAACCATTGGAGTCACACCCAACATTCAGAATAGGCAACTTTTTAGCAGTTCCGGAAAAGGAGCAAAAAAGGGGACCCTCAATCTGCCAAGCACCACTGCGAGTACTGACTGGTGCAGTTTTAGACCTCCGCTAAACTTGCACATTTTGAAACTCACACCATGACACGGCCCCACCTTCAAACTAAAACTAAAAGTCTAAAAGTGTGTTACAGCCGCAGTTTCCCCCCAAAAATAGATATTTGCAATGCTGGCAGGACCATCTCAAGAAAAAAAAAAAAAAAAAGACTTGGTAAAGTGCTGCTTGTAAATGAGTAGCCTAGCAATAGGTTAGCAGTTAACCAACTGACGCCGGTTTGTGTGTTGGAACACAACAAAGCTACAGACCATACTGTACACAGGTCCCTGCTTTTAATCTGCCAATTGACCCCAGAGATTGGGAGTGGAAACATCCGTTGCGAAATGAACTGGTGAGCCTATCAGAATACACTACAAAAATGGGATACTTAATAATGACACCACGAACAGACATCAATTGGGCTGTAGCCAGAAGATGGATGGCGACAGGATGGATTGAGGACTCTCTGACAAGGTTGTCTGCGGCCCTTTCAACTTTTTGGAAACTGTTGATGGACCTGGTCGTAAGAGAGCATGCGAGCCTGCTCTTGTGACGCCCAACCTCACGCCCGACGCGACTTTTTGATCGGAGTGGGATGCGGGCCTGGAAGTGCGAGAAGGGGTGTGCCAAGGATTTTTGGGGAAAGTGGGGTTGGAGTCCCAGGTCGGAACTGAGATCTCCTGTGGCAAAGTTTCAGGGGCATATATGCAATAGAGCTAAGGGGGCGAGTTACTTCCGGTCTGATGGCGGTCGAGGTCGTGCAGCATAAGGCAGATGGCATGCGAGGTGCATTCAAGGCCGTCCGATCCGTCTGTTTTGGTGGCGGCGGTTTGGGGAGAGGCCCGCCCGGGATGGTTGTGATTCCGATGAGTCGGACCTTCGGGTGCAGACACGTGGCGTCTGTCGTCGCGCGTTTTGGTTAGGCCCCGTAGTTTCATAGGCTCGTCGGTCGCCGCGTCATCGACAATTTCCGCAAGGCGTCCGGGGCCAATACGGGGCGATGGAATTCCACGGAACCACTGTGAGTTGGTGATATGGAAGGAGGAGACGGAAGGGAGGGAAATTGGTAGTGATAACGACGAAGCCGGGGGATATGGAGTATTGCATGTTATCCGTAGTGGGAAAATCGGGGCACCTCGGGTCGCTGGTAACGGCACAATGAAACTCCCTGGGGCACAATCGATTCTCGGTTAGGCAGGGGAATTTCGGGTATCTTTGCCTAATACATTCTCTCACCCAAGGGTCGAAGTACTCCGAGTCCCAGGAGCTCGGCATCTTGTCATTGCGGGATAGAAAATTCCCGCGTGCTCGATACCGGAGATGTCAAGTTCGTCAACGTTCGCGAATCGGCGCGCGTGGATACGTGTAGGCTGCGCAAATAGAATAGCACTTACACGTATCCCCGCGAGGTATTCGCCTGTTTCTGAGAGAATGAGAGCCTAATCCCATATGCAAAATCGCCATGCACCGTAAACAACTACCCAATCATCTAATCATTCCGTGATCCCGCAAGCAATCATTCCCAAGCATGCAAGGTGTTAACACACATCAGACATCACAGCAACATCAGAACAACAACTAATCAAAGTGATAAGCAATAATGGATGCAATAATGACGACTATGCAAAAATTTCTACCAGGCTTGTGGGTGACACTGGGTGTATCATAATGGCAGGCAAAGACAATGACCAGACAAAAGAAAAACAACAGACATAACATTCATTCATTCATTATTCGACAGAACATACGATAGTTGAGATCAAGATCAATCGCAAAGCAAGGGTGGGCTGAAACCGAGGCAAAGATTCTGAAAACAAGAGGAAACGGGCAAGTCGCCCTGAGCCGGGATCAAAATTTATATACAAAAGCAAAGAGGGAGACAAGACAAAGAAAATGGCAACTCCGCGTCCATCAACCTCAACTCTCTCTCTCTCTCTCTCTCTCTCTCTCTCTCTCTCTCTCTCTCTCTCTC